TGTGAGCCTTTCATTCTTGGATTTTTCCGGTGGCACCGGGCCTAGCTTCGGTTTGGGTCAATCGTCGTGTCTTTTCTTTTTTCTTTTCCTTCTTCTCTCCCTGCCTCTACAGTTATCTCTTCCCAATTCTCTCTTTGGTCTCCCCTGTTCCTCTACTCTTGAAGGTATACCTCTTTCCTGCCTATCTTCGATTCAATCGTCAGCCACGTTTCTTCTTGAGCTTGTGTGTCTAGTTCTGACGGTTGATCCAACTTGGATGGTACAACCACCACCACTTTCTCATTGTAATCTGTCGGTTTAGACAGAGTTGTTCGTGGGTATTCACAAACTTCATTCTGACAGTCGGCTTTGCTCACTTGGCTGCCACTCATCCCTTGTTTATGGCTGTGCTCTTGTAGCAACTTGTGGTTGGAGGTGACATCTGTGGAGGTGTTACTGGACGGAGGAGGGGAATCAACTGTTGGACCTGTTTCAGAGGGTGGAGATGGTTGTGGAAGCTTTTTTCTGTTTTACTTTAGTTTTAGGTCTTTTTTTGTTGTATTTCAAGTGTGTGTTGGGCCTTTGTTGTAAAGTGTATTTTTTGTAATAAAATTCCCTTTGACCGAAAATAGTGCAATTGATTGGATAATGGAATACCCTTTTTGTTCATTGACATTGGAGAAATTAATTATACTCGGGCCGAAAATGACATATATTCAAAATCAAACACTAACTATCGAATGACGAATGCAGGATTAAACGCTCTTAGTCATTTAAGTTGGAATCACTCGAATGCAAACCTATCACACTTCTTTGCCAACGACGTATCAATGTGCTAGGTTTAGCCTCATCAGAATGAATTGTAGTACATGAAACATACGTTCGCAATCAAAATGAATTATAGTACAAGAAAAATACGTACGCTCGGCGTGTACAAGATTAAAACATCAATTGTAGCTTTGGCCCAATTGGCCAAAGAGAAGACTCGTAAAGAGAGTATTAATTCTCAGGTGAAAACGTGCATGCTATTCTAACATGACGTGGGAGGATTAAAATTGTTAGATTATATGAATAGTCAAGATTTGTCTAAATGCATGTAAATGCACGAATGATAAATGTAGAGAATCGAGATCCTTTATCTTTATCTCTATTAGCAGAGAGCACACACTTTGTGTGTGTGAACAACCGCCCACCTCCTCTCACGTTCTCCTCAAGCGCAACCGTTTCAGTTCATTCAAACAATCTAAAAAACATCATGATTTTACTTGTATGAAAAAATGATGCTGGGATAATTTCTTTTAATAAGTGCATATTTTTATCTTATGTAAATATTTTGATACAAAATTACTATTTTATCCTCCTTTTGTAAATATTGTGTATCAAAAGTGAGGGTAAAATAGAAAAAATGGGGATATGATTGTTATTTTGTCAAAAGATACAAAATTACTATTTTGCCCTCCTCATGTCAACGCTGTGTATTCAAAAGTGAGGGCGAAATTGAAAAAAATGGAGCAAAAGTTGACAAGCCCTCTTCTTTTAATAGAATAGAAGAATATATTTATTCGATGCCAAAAAACACTTAGGAAATCTACAATTTTTTGGATTTCATATTTACTAGTAAAATCAGGTGAAGAAAGACTTTTAACTTGTGCCTATTTATTACCGTTAAATTAAATGTGCTAATTTTTTGGTCAATTGAAGTTATTTTCGTTCATTTTGTAATAGAAATTTGAAATTCCAGTGGCGCTCAGCTTCTCAACTTCCAAGTCATTGACTTTCCAAAAATGCCCATCATCACCTTGGTCCAGAAAAAGAAAATTTGAATTCAAAAAGAAGGGCATAGAAGTAATTTCGTGTCCAAACGAATCACCGGAACTATAAACCAGAGGCCACACCGCACCCAAAGGCCCCAACGCATCGCCATTGCAGCTACTGTACGGACGGAAGAAGGAGCAAGAAGAACACTTCCAAAAGTTGCAGAGAATGGTAATTTCAATTCTTCGTGCTTTATTTCGTTATTTTTCTGGAAATAAATCGTTCAATTTCGTCTAGTTTTGCCGTTAGGGTTCCTGAATTTTTCAACTCCGATTCGGTTCAATTCAAAATTTTGATTTTTCTAGCTACAATTTGAATGCCCAAATTCGTTTACTTTTGATATTACCGCAAAAGCTTCTGTCTTTCTCTCTGATTGTTGCAATTCGCCCAAATGTGCGTCGGTTTGGGCGATTGTTGCTCGTACGACGTGTCGTTAGGGCCACTCTGTGGAGCACTTTGGCTGTGTTTTGCTCTGAATTTGTTTTTCTCTGCAGGACGGGCATGATTCGGAGGATCCGAAGCAGAGCACTGCCGACATGTCTGCTTTTGTGAGTGCCTAATTGTTCTCATAGCTTTCTGAGTTTCGATTTTTGTTCGAAAAATGTAGAATTTTGAGATTATTGGATCATTTTTACAAGAATGTTTGTGTTGGTAATGATTTTTCGGTGTTTGTTTTTCGCAGGTGCAAAATCTTCTTCAACAAATGGTGAGTTTTTCTCGAGTTGAGGTGATGTTGGTTGAATCAAATAATTGACTGTTATTGATAAAATTTCTGTTTGCAGCAATCTAGGTTCCAAACAATGTCCGACTCCATTGTTACGAAGAATATCCTTTTCCCGTTTTCTTTAACTTTGAAAGCGTTTATCTGTCCGCGTTAGGGTTATGTCATATTCGGTTCTCAATTAGTTATAGATTCCTCCTATAGCCACAACTACCAGTATGTCTGATTAGTTTGAAGGAATTAGTCTGTGTATACTTTTTGATTTTCGGTTTTCATTTGGTTTCTGGTTTTTCCTGCAAGTTTTGATAGTTGGATCTTGACGGGTTTGAAACCTTACTATCCGTGTGCTATCAGTGAAATATCTGTTATGTTTCCTTAACTATGATCACTTGACGAGATGGGCTCTCGCATAAATGAGTTGGAGAGCAGCATCAACGACCTAAAAACAGAGATGGGAATGGAGGGCTCTCCGTCTCCAATGCAGCAGTCCAAGCCAGCATCAGATGAAGTGAAGCAAGATGAAGGTTCCGCATAAATTTAGTTACAATTCATGTTCTTGATGATAAACATAGTGCTCATCCTACATTCGATAAGGTTTTCGGTTTTTGTGCTATCTTTTCTTTGTCTGCGATTGTGTATTTGTGCTTGACCGATTGAAGCTGATGTTTCTATGAGATTATAAACACTCGTTGTGCTCTTGTAGCTAATGTTGTTCGCGGTCTATCATTTGAAAGTCATTAATATGAGATGATATCTTATCATGCGTTGTTTCTTATCAGAATTTAACAGTTCACTGCTGTTTGTTTATTTTTGAGTGTTTGGCTGCTGGGAAAACTTTGACATTCCGTAGCATCTTTATATTTCATAAAATTATACTAGTCGGGAACATCCTAGAACGATGATTTTCGAACTCGTTTACCTACTTAGACTGTGGTTGGCCCAGGTCAGACTTCTTCGTGCAGGGACTCACCTTTCAGAATAGCCCCAACCGAGTCGGCTCTGGTTAATCCAGGCATACACAAGTAGGACGACTCGAACACTGCTCTAGCCAGGTACTTCCCGGTTTGGGATAGATTGTTAAGTTAAATAACAAGGTTGATCAAGAAAATTTCGACTACAGTATTGTCGGGATAAAAACAGAAAGATAAGGCAATAGTATGAGCATTACAATTCACAGCATGATCTGTTACTTAAATCCATAACATAAAACAGCTACACCGGTGATCAACTCCGGCAACGGGCAATAGCAGTGCATCCGCGTTTGTAGGGGTTGCTCTGAGCACCTGACTTGCAGTTGTAGTAGGAAGCACCTCTGTGAGAGCAAGGCACGGTGTTTCTCTGCAGAGCTCCATAGCTTATGTACTGTGAGGTGGCCAAGATGCGCCTGCTGATCTCTGAGTCCATGCCAAACTCAACATCATGATCATCCATGCACTCTGCTACCGAACCCTCGCAGCCGGGTCTCAGCGGAACCCAGCTCACCCTGTGATCGCCCCCTGCATCAGCGGAGATGATCAGAGCGGCGACGAGGGCCAAGGAAAAGATAATGGTGGAGGAATTGGCCATAGTTTTTTGTATGGTGTGTTTTTGGCTGCCAACTTGTATTTATAGCTGCTGAGTTGTTATAAATACTATGAACAAGAGAAGAAGATAACCTAGGAAGGGACGAAAGGTTCAGTAAATGGAAAATTGGATGCTGATTTCTTCAAGGAGGTGATTACTTTGTTGACTTGCATTAATTCAACCTCGTTCCAATTGCTACAAAGAAAACTGAAATTGGAACAATCCATGACTTTGTTCAAAACCTACCAAGAAAATGAAATCAACCACTACCGGAAAATATGCTGGTAGAGATTTCATAAGGGCCGTTTTCGGACTGTTTCCGCTCGTAAGTGCTTTTGTTAGAAGTGCTTTTTATCATAATCACGTTGTGACTTTAATTGAAAAAAACTAGGTGTTTCTTGAAAAAGCAATTGGAATTTGGAAATGCTCACCCTCTCCAGAAATCGCTTATTTGACTTGGAAGTGCCTTTTGAGTTTTTTCTATCAAACGTTATTACAGAATTATTAGTTAGCAGAGAGCTATTTTAGCCGTTCTTGAAGCAATCTCAAACGAGCCACATCAAAACCAAAGCACGCTCTTTTAGCGATTCTTAAAGCAATTTCAAACAAGCCGCATCAAAACCAAAGTCGGTGTGTAACTACTCATTGAAATTGATATAGTTTTTTTAATTTGCGCCAGCAGGCACTACAACAACTTCGAGCCACTTAAGCGGACTTTGATTAAACTTCTTCCTACGTCAAGAGATTCAGACTATTCTTTTTGAAAACAACAGCTAAACCAGCCGTTCTATATTATACTCGGTCAGTTTGGTATAACGGTGGTTAGGGACGAGAACGAGAGTGTGTGAGAGTAAAACGCTTGACTACTTAAGCTACAAGCCCCCACAGAGTTATGTAACGGCATTCTAGAAAGGACGATCCAACCAAGAAACTGCGTTGTATATAATAAAAAATCGAAATATATTTCCACCCGTCTAAAATTCACTGTTCGTGGTAAAATTTACAATACATCAGTGGAATGTACATGAATTGTGCGTCTGCAGACGTATTAGTAATACAAAATGACCCGAAAGGGATGAAGTTGAAGGAAATCTTATGGGGGTTGGGAAGTGTAAGAACCAGATGATTGCCTAACAGAGGCATCCATAAAAACTCTCCTATCTTTCGAGTTTACTAAGTAATGCTTCTATTGGTGGCAGCTCCTGCACAATTTGTTGCCAGTCCGGCATGCCCTGCAAAGACATCGGAGTATATTACAGATGTATTCAACAACAAAACAATAAAAAGGGAAACGAAAAGGAGAGGATGACACTCGGAGTTAAGTTTTCCTTGGGTCGAACCAGTTTAAACGTTTGTAGGGTGTATGGAAATAAATGGAGCAAAAGAAACGCGTATATTTGAAATGAAATGCAGGAGATTAAATCTGCTATTTCAGAAACTCAAATCCAGAACTTAAGTAGCCATAAATGCAGTATGCACTTACTTTCCCTGATCTTCGAACTCGACCATCTAGGCGCAGTATAATGTAGACATCCTCTCCAGGAGCAACTCCTTCGGACTTTTGCTGATCCTTTATCCACCTAAACAAGCATATCAACACAATAATGCATATAAACCATACAAACCGAATAATGCATACAAACACAAAACATTTTGTTATTTAGAGTAATAAATTGATGGTCAAACAAGTGTGTAGACAATAAAGAGTAGCACGTAACCTTTCCCATTCTCCAGGGGATTCAACCTCAGCCCTGAATCGGATTTCAGCTTTTAACTTTGACTTTGCAGTTATAGACTGAGTTCGTTTCTCGAAATCTTCCTACCATTGGAGCCAACAGATATGGTGGGAAGAATGAAATAACTTATCGAAGTCTATCTCAGAACATGCATTGAGAACTATAGATGAAAGTCTTTGCATCTTACCCCAATAGAAGGAAGAGCAGCAGCTGCCTTTGAAGGTGTACCGAAGCCTTTCTTCTCTATTTGAGGTACCTTAACTTCATCCCAGATGACAGGAACTAAAAGAACACCTCTTCTCAGGAGCTCGGTTCGAAATCTTGCTGCCTGCTGGATACTTAAGGCAACAGTCTCCTTCTTCCCTGCCAAAATAACCTAAATTCTAGACTTTATCAGACCAATGGCATTTATCCAGATCAGGAAAACAGAAAATAGATGTAGAGAATTACAAGAACTGCACCAACGTATAACCTACATAGAGATAATGAAGAAAGAGCGGTACTCACAGGCCTAACAGTGTCTCGCAACTGCACAAGCTCAACAACCCGGTTGGTGGAGAGGCGCAATGGCAATCTTGATAGATTTTCATCGCGAGATATTTGTGAAAGTTGTTCCTCCTCCTTCTTGTTTTCCCATAAAAACAATGCCACAAGAACAATAAGACCTGTAGATTACTGATTCAAAAGCTTAGTCATATTAAATAGCAAGTTCCAAAGTTCACTCAGTATCTTATTCCATCCCTTGATCTCCCAAGCAATTGAAAGACATGACTGTCGATGAACACACAACCCAAAAGCTTACACTCGTGAAAGTTGGATCTTTTGGTTATTTTTTTTTTCTGCTACTCCCAATTTCTATGAGATACTCATTGAATGAATTTTAACTCCTACGTCTCCAGATATTCTATAAGATTATTACGTTCTGTTTTTTATGAAACAAAGTATCTTACAAAGAACCATATCTGACAAACGTAGTATTGTTATTTATAACAACGTTATCTCCTCAAAGTCACTCTATATGGATTAACTCAATACTTTTATACATAGAAAAGAGGGAGAACGGTACTTTTTATATGCAAGTAAAAGCACTTGATTTTACCTCCAACATTAACGGCAACATTGCCAGCAGTTTCCCAGAGATCAGGGGCATCATCACCACCTTGAAATGCACGGAACAGCCGGGGTACAGTAAAGAACGTTGAGATTCCTGCAGCTGCAGAGAATGCTACATAAAAGAATCTCCTAATCCCACGGAATGGTGCTTGGACTTCACTAATGAGTTTGAGATCTCTCCTAAAACTGTAGCCTATATCTTCCCCACCTAGTCTAGCCTGCATAAATAAGAAATAATTGTCATAAAAGATGTCCAAAGACAGAAGAAAACGTGGCAAGGTTTCAACAATAAATAACAGCTATTCATATGATTCCACCGCTTACAAACCCCAACCGGTTGAAACAACCAGAGGATGAGATGCACTCTCAAAATTACAGGACAAAACAAATTACAGTTAACAGTTTGAGTTTAGTAACAAACCTCTTCCTGCAATTCCTTAAATTCAGGCAAAGCTCTGAAAGAGGCCAAGTCGGGATCATTCAAAATTGTGCCAAATTTGAGGTCATATTCTCTCAAGGCGGTACGTAGACAATCAGCAGCTTTCCTTCCTTCCCCTCTTCCTCAGAATGTGAAACAAAAACAACACCTATCAGCCTAGCTAAGAATTAGTTGGAGGTAAATTCAGATAGAAAACATAAACTTCGGGCATATTTTCGATAGTCTGAGATGCATAAGGAAAACTAACAAAATAATCTGAAATCCCTACTTGTAGGCGTGACAGCAGGCTTTGTTATACAGTGCAGCCTGGGCCTCGATTGGGTTGGGATCCAAACTCAGTGCTGTTTCAAACTGAACTAAAGCATCTTTAACCTGAAAACTCCAGGATCATAGAGACACGATATCAAATACTTTCATACAGCACAAATGAGAGCTTCTTATTCACCAAAATCCAAGTTTCTAAACGTATGCAAATTGAAACAATGCTCAAAGATACAATATTTCTGCTTTCCCAACCTCAAAGTTCAACACATTAAACTAAAGATACGATATTTCCTACTTAGGAAACCGAAAACATTAATATCGACACATTATCAATAACATATAGACAGTACGTTCTTGATAGAAAACTAAAACTCAACACACCCATCTCACAAAAAAGTAAAATTCGCTCAAAGAAATCGAAAGTTGCGACGATTAGTAGGGAAATATGGGAAATTACCCGTCCTTTGGAGAAGAGCTGGAGACCCAAATTCACACAAGACTCGGGGGTGTCTGTATTGGCTTCAGTGGACTTAGAAGTTGAAGAGCAGGAGATGAGAGAGATGCGGGCTGAGTTCTGGTGAATTTGCAAATGGGTGAGGAACGCGGTTGCTCCGCCGGGAAGAGACGGCCTTGTTCGTGTTATTGGGTTCGAGAAGCGGAGCCGTAGGTGGTGATGCAGAGCCGGAGCAGCCACAGCCATTAGAGCGAGTTTTATCAACTCGCACCGTAAACCTTTAACACTCTGTTATCGACAGAGAGAAGCGGATCCAGTGTCATTAGTGCACCAACAACAGAAGATCCACACCGCCCATAACTTACCCTTCACTATATTTGGGTGGAGATAAACCTTTACATTTACCATCACCAAGGTTTAAAATATCGATGATATCAGAAATATCGATAGTCCAAAAACACAGAAATTTCAATGGAAATATCGGATATTATCGATATCGATAAAAATTGAATAAAAACCACGTAAATTATAAGAAAAACTTGGAAATTTTTATTGAAACTTTGCAGGATGTTTATTTAATCAATTATCTATTAGTTTATCACAAAAAAATTGGAAGGAAATGCATTGCATGATGGATTTAATTGATTTAAGTTGATTATATAGCAAGCTGGCAAACATTGTGAGTGTATAAAATATGTAATAATTAATGAAAGAAATTTAAACACATCATAATCATTTATATATAATGAATTAGTACAATATTTTACACTTTATACTTTGCATGGTAAGATACATGAGTGACTTAGTACCACATAGAGTTCCTATCAAGATCTAAAATATCGCTGATATCGGAAATATCGGTAGTCCAAAAACACAGAAATTTCGAAGAAAATATCGGGATAATATCGATATTTTAGACCTTGACCGTCACTAATGTAATATCCTATTATATTCGAGAAACGTCTTTCTAAATTTATTTCGATCTCACTTTACTTCTAAAATTTGCATAAATGTATTCTCTGAAACTCAATTTTACTTCACTTTGTCATATCCGTTAATTTCATTAAAAATTATGATAAGTTTGCTTATGTGGCATAATCAAGCGCACTTATTTGCCATATGTGTAAAATAATGTTAATTTTTTTCTAGATATTTTGAAATGTAAAAGAAAAATAAATTGGAACTTGGGGTCACTTTTTAATCAATAGGCATTGTGAAAAATGAAATAATATGACCTGATGAGCGAAGGGTCTCGAAGAGACGGGAATATATAATATGGAGTTCATTCAATAAGGGGCAACGAAACTCGTTCGATGTTGTTACTCGCGGATTGACTCGTATAGCCAAGTTAAACGCTTGATTTAGAGAGGAGACTCATTCAATTACACAAAACAAATGTATATGGAGTCCTACACACATATAGTACAATACATTAATAGGATAGATACTTAATACTAAGATTATAGTTGCTAAACACCTAATAATACATAGCTTTGAAAGATGAGAAGTCACAAACAATGAAATTTAATATAGAAACTATATTTATTGTCATGCACTACATCATACTCCTGTTCTCGAAAAAAAAAACTCGTCCTTGAGTTTCCTTGTTTTTTTCTCGATCTTTTGGATGACCTTTCAAATCTTTCCACAGCAGCCACATCAAAAGAAATTCAGAATTGTTAAAGTTTTCAAACCCACAAAACAAGTACATTCCACTTCCACGCTATTCCTAAGCTAGTACACCTTTGTTCCTTGTTAATAGAAATTGACTTCAAATCAAGCATATAAGATTTCCAAATTTGTTTCTTGTAAGGAGTAGGGTCGGAGGGATATTGAGGAACCACAATCAAATTCACCGATTCTTTTCTTCAAAAATTTCTACTCTAGATTGTGAGTAACGAAATCTTCCCAAACACAATCATTGTGCAAATGCAATGTTTTGACCTCTTTATGAAGCTATATATAAAATGTTTCCACCATTGTATTCATATTATGTGGATAACCCCAATCCACAAAGCATTTATCTCCTAGCAGCAGCAGTATACTCGTCGTCATCATCATACTTGTCGTAAATTGGTGGAGAATTCCAATTGATGAAACTAATCTCTTCAACGACTTGATCTTGAAACGGTTTTATAATCATAGCCATGACCTTTAGCCGCAACGGAAAACCTGCTCTAATACCATGCCCGATCTAGTTATGAAAGTGAGCCAAAGTTAGATAACCACTTGCACATGACTAGACACAAAAGGAATGGATTCCATTGACACCAAAACTTAGCCCCCAACAAGCTAAAGTTGAAAGTTGAAACAGAAACAACTGGATCTGTCTGTCATATTATATAACCACAATGCTTTCTCTGATATAGGAAAAGAGAGTTCAATTTAGTGAGTCACACCACCTATAAGGCTACAACATATATGAATAAATAGACCATATATTATATGCCTGATGCGGAAACAGTACCGCATTATCGCCGCGTCCGCACTCTCAAAAGTAAAAATCATCACAAAATTAATGCTGGTTTTTTAGTCTCGTTACATTAATTTGGCACACCTTCTCTTTTTCTTTTGTCCATCACTACGCAAAAGGCTGCACCAATTGTGCTGCCAAAGCTACAAATTAATGCTCAACCACAAACTCACAAACCCTTTGAGCAAAGATGTTTTTGTCGGTCCTTTTTGTCCTACTGTAAATTGTAATAGCACTTTCACATGTAAATGTTTTGATCTTGAGTGTAGGGCTGGCTTGCTAGTTGCTCATGAGAAAGTGGATGCTTTGGTGGAGTATATATGTTTAGAACCTGAAGATGGGACCATGCAATGCCCTTTCGATCGGCATATATTCGGCTGCTTTACAAAGATTATATACCAGTTCAACATTTCTGTTCTCTTTCTGAATTATAAATGATTTAATGAAGAACCCATCCCCATGTTACCTCAATCTTATCAGTTGTGTGAGTAAGGAAGTTCCCATGTTATGCAGTTATACGATAGAAATAAAATTCTTATATCAAATTCATCAATTTTATTTCAGCTAATTACTTTTAAAAGAGATTGCATGACAGTAAATTCAATCTTTTAAATCGGAAAACCCTAAAACCTATAGACAAAAGAAAACCCCTGAGAATAAAAGAAATCTGATCGATATGTTAACTCAGTCTTATCATTTGCTTAGTTCAGAAAGTTCTGTGCTATTGAGTGAGGATAGAAATAAGAATGATTCTCATGTCAAATTCATCAATGTATTTGAGCTAATTACTTTTAAACGAAAGACTGTGGGACGTAAACCCTAATACAATCATTAAAAAGGGAAAACCCTATAAAACCCTAAAGACAAAAAACCCTAATAAAGAAATCTCGTCAGATTGTGTTCGAAAACTAAGGATAGATAATCACATGCTAACCGTAAATAGATAGTCACATGCTCTTGATCTGTTTGGCCTAGCTAGCTGACGAATTTGTTACCTGATCAGTTATCACAAAAACGATACTGCACACTGGCATGATTGTGTTCGAAAACTAAGGATATCCGAAGTGGATTTGGATGGATATATATCACGAAACCAATGCACCCAAGAGTACATATGGGACTAATAATTTTTGAGTTGGGTGAGTGTGCTGAATATTATACTTAGAATTCTTCCAACCCAAAAACAGATATATTGGAGGCCACCATGATTTCAGTGGAGGTCCAGTACTCCCCCCTGGTCATGGAATTTTGATCAAAATCTAGGTCCAGTATAGTTTACTTTCTTCTACACCATCAACAACCTAGCCAGCTATGGAAAAAAGATTTCAATGTCAATATACAGCCATGTCTTGCTAGAATTATCATGCAAAGGAAAAAAAAGGTAATTATTGTGTGTGTAAAGATGCTTGCTTTGATGTAAGGAGCTTGTAGCTTGGTTCATTAAGAGCATTCACCATTCACCTGAAGTCTCGAGTTTGAATTCCACAACCCCCGGAATATCGCTCTGTAAAAAAAAAAATTCTGGCTGTGATACCTGCTAATTGGACGTCCATTTTGGATAAAGATGTGTCATTATTTTTTCTGCTGGGCGGTCGGCAGTCAGCTTAAGCATCTTGATCAACTCAATGAATGGTTGAGATTGTTTGTTTGCCACAAGAAAAGAAATGGCCTATCGATCAAATCCCATCATAAAAGAGAAGCTGCAAGAAATTCCTTGTAATCCAATCCAATTTCCTAAATGTGATACTTAGGAATAACTTTAATTTAATGTCGGGTTTTGAATGACCTGACCTCTTGATGCCTGCTGCAACTTCCAACTTGGCCAACTTGGCTTTGTTGTTTTCGAGTGGCCTTTCTAGTGCAGGTGCAGCTTGTTAACTACCAAAGATGGTAGAAATTTTTTAGTGTGATGCCGAGTTATGTTTTAACATGGGTGAACGACAAGGATGATAAAAGAGCTCATAACTACATGATTGCATTGGTAAAACAGTGAAGGTGTGATCATCACACCTGAAAAATTACTCGAGCGATTATTGATGAGAATTCAATGCAAATACTTCTTTTTTTATTTGTGTTTTACACGTCGCATTTTGTTCTGAGAGATAGAGGGGAACAGAAACTGAGAGAAAGTTGGTGATTTTAAGCTTTCTTCACACTTTAATTGACGCAGGAAAGGAGCAAAAAGCTCTATATATCTAGCATGTGGACAATACATGATGTAGAACCAGATAAATAAAATCAATGAGCATTTGAAAACCCACGTCACGTTGTCCTGTTATCAAAGTTACAAGTATAGACATGATTATATATACTTCTAATCACCATCAATTAGTATGGAGGAGTTTAAAGGAAATTTGACTGAAATGATCGATATACAAATCTCGATTGGTGAAATAATCGAATCCACAAATCTCAGTTGTTGAAATTATCACTTTTTAATATCTGATCGAAATGTCGTTAATATTTCATATATTACTCGATCAAATAAGGAAGGGGTCATTTCAACGATTGGAATTTGTAAATCGATCATTTCAACCAATTTTTGAGTTTAATTTACATGCCTACATATCTGCCCTCCTGTTGCGTTTTCCAAAAATGGAGATGATCTCCAATCAAGCATGTTATGGTGCAATTAGCAAGAAAAATATCCCAACTTTCTGATTCTCGTAATGTTAGGGACAATATATCAGTGGTAGAACACCATCCTAGTCTTGATGTAACATAATTGTGGTTACAATGACCCCTTAATTTATCTAGCATACGTGTGCTTTAAAACTTTCTCGACCAATAGTGTATCACAACATATATAACATAAGAAAATTGGTTTAGATGAGGATTTTACAAATTTCAATTGTCGAAATAATC